AATTTAATAAACTTTAAATAAATTTTAATGAATAATATATAAACCAAAATGTAAACAAATTAAAAATAAAAGTATAAATACTTTACAAAAAAAAAGCTCTTCTTAGGGGCTGTCCATTAATAACGTCAATAATTTTTTGACAGTTTGTACCTCCCGTTGTCAACAATTTGTCAAACTTCCAGAGATCCTCTTATAAAATTACTTCAATATTGAATTAACCTCGGGTCTTTTTAAAGCACAACATGGTTTTTAAAATGTCGGAATATAAATAGCTTTATTAAAACGCTGAAAGTTGAACGATTACGTGACACAGAAATGCTACTTAATTTCCTTTTTTATAAGTATTTAAACTTAATAAAAAAAGTATTTCATTAAAATATTGACATCTAAATAGATTTGTAATTAAAAAAAAAAATTGTCTTGACATTTTCCCCTCTCCCTATTTGCTAATGTAATTAATGGACAACCCCGTACCGCTCATTAAATCTATAAAAAAAAACTCCTCTAGGTTTTTAACAACGCGGGTAGTTTAGAAATGAGTCTATTTTACAGAATTTACAGAAAACAAGAAAATGACGTTAAACATTCAACGTTCATTTTTAAAATGATATTATGACACATGTTAGAAAATGTTTATTTTACAGAATCTTCACTAACTAACTAAAGTATTAAACATTGACTGTACCAATTAAGCTAAAATACTCCCTATTTCAGGCCCGACGCACAGTTGGGCATTTGATTGGTTTAGGCGGCCAATACTAAATTTTTCAGAACTTCCAAAATAAATTAAAAAAGTTATTTTAGCAATATTGAATAGTTAGTGAATATTAAAAACATTAAGTAATCGCAAATGGTTTTAACAACAAGCAGTAGGATATATACAAAGTTGATCATTAATTATTGTCTACGCATTTTCTTTTGGTCGCTTATTTTTTAAGCATTTTATTAGCATCAAATAAAGTTTAATCAAAGTATATTTCAAAGTGTTTTGTGATGAATTCTAATGAAGTTGGTAAAGGTAAATACATTTGGAGAGTTTTAATCAGTTTATTTGTGATTATATATAAGTTTGTTGGTTTTGTAAAAACTCTTTCCTTTCTCTTGTTTTTTGCAATTTTCACTTCAAACTATAAGTAATTAGTAATACTTCCAAGCATTTCCAGGTTACTGTTTTTTTATTAACAGATAGGCTAAGGTTTTGACTTCAATGATATGTAAAAATCACCTGCCATTTTTTGCCATTTTTTTCTCCGTATTTGTTTATTCACTCTTCCTGTTCTTAAGTGTATTATAGGAAAAGACCAGGGGGGTTGTTGTTTCTCTATAAATGTTTTTTTCTCTTTTTTTTTCTTTTTTTCTCTGTGTACTTTAAAGAAAGTAAATGGTTAACTTTTTTTAAATAAAGGTTTGCGATTAGTATTATATATTTTATTTAAACTATAAAATAATTTATTTAATAAAAAAAACACTAAACTTAATGTTCAGGTATATTTTAATTTTAAACGGAGTTTATAATATGTTCGTCAGATGTCAGGTAAACGACCCAAAGAATGTTATATGATCTAATGCAGAGCCAAATTTTATCAAACATGAATGAGAAATTATTATTTTTAGAACATAACGTATTAGCAAAAGATAACTACTCAGACGAACAAATAAAAGAAGTAAAACATAGTTTATCGCAATTTAGTTACGAGTTAAAACAAAGATGGTCAATAGCAAAGAGGGATAAAAATTTGTTTTTAAAAAAAACAGTGATTGGCTAGATGAAAATACCTGCAGTACTGCATCAAGGGGGTAGGCCAACGAAGAATTTTAAAGAATTAAGCGAGAGAAGCAAAAGAAGGAAAACAGAAAACATACGTGCTACCACAAGTTCAGAAACATTGATTTGTGTTGCTCAGGTGGAATTAGGTTTACTGGAAAAAGAACTGCTTCAAAAATTTTAAAGGACATCAGCCACTCCCCAAAGCGGGCAAAAATGTATAAGATAACATACTCTAGCGTTTTACAGGAAAAAAAATCACAGCTATCGGTATTAAGTGCACTGGCCATGTTTGTAGAAGCTGGTCTTTCCAGAAGACAATATGAAATTGTTAGAAGTTCTTGCAAAACATTATATCCTTGCTATAGTATCCTGCAAAAGGCAAAAGTATCCAAATAAGGAATTTTATTTTGTCACTGAAACTTGTATCGCAGTCAATTTACAAGATTTATTGGACCATACCGTTACACGATTGGTCATGTATTTAGAAGAAGTGGTACAAAATTTAAACAAAAAAGAAAGAAGTTCATTAATATTAAATTGTAAATGGGGCTGTGACGGATCACAGCAAAATCAATATAAACAGAAATTTCTGAATGACGCCGATTGTGATGCAAATATATTTCAGAGTTCTTTTGTACCGCTTCAATTAACTAAAAACAACAGATTGATCTGGCAAAATCCAACTCTTTCTTCGCCACGTTATTGTTGCCCTAAAAGAGTTAGATTTGTCAAAGAATTTAATGATATAACAAATGAAGAGATAAAACTTATTGAAAATTCAATTATCTCTTTGCATGACACAAAATTGACAGTGGGTGGAAATTTATTTTCAGTTAAACATAGTGTGATGCTCACTATGGTTGATGCTAAGGTGTGTAACGCAGCCACTAAAACAGCTTCAACTGTAAGATGCTATATTTGTGATGCAACATCAAAAAATTTTAATAACTTGACTACTGAAAAAGATGTCAAACCAGATACACTGAAGTTTGGGTTATCAGTTTTGCATGCCAGGATCCGAATATTTGAAAATTTATTGCATCTATCTTATAAATTACCTATTAAAAAATGGCAAGCGAGATCAGAAAATGAAAAATTAATTGTCAAACAAAAAAAACTAGAAATACAATCAAATTTTAGAAAAAAAATAGGTTTAATTGTAGACGTACCTAAGCCTGGATTTGATAACTCAAATGATGGCAACACTAGCCGACGATTTTTTGCAGACCCAGAGTTGGCAGCTGAAATATTGTGTATAGATTATAACCTAATATATCGCCTTAAAGTAATATTAGAAACAATATCTAGTGAACATAAAATAGATGTCGAAAAATTTAGAAGATATACTGTAAAAACTGCGGAATTATATGTCCAGTTATACCAATGGTATCCGATGACTCCTACAATGCATAAAATCCTTATTCATGGTTTTATTGCATTAGAGCATGCTTTGCTTCCTATTGGTCAGCTATCTGAAAAAGCAGCTGAAGCACGAAATAAATATTTTCGTGTTTACCGTCAAAACAATGCTAAAGAATTTTCCAGAGAGTCTTGCAACCTCGACGTTCTTAATAAATTACTAATTAACTCAGATCTTATTTTAACTGGCATGAGAAAATTACCAAGAAAAAATACTAAACCATTCTTAAACGAAACCTTCGGAGATGCTACTTCCAGCTGAACTTTCTAATTTTACTGATATTGTTGACACAGAGGAGAAATCTTCAGAGCAATCAGGAATGTCTTCAGAGCAATCAGGGATGTCTTCTGATGAAGAAATTTATCTTTCGGCATCATCCTTTTATTGGTAGTTATTTTGTGTTAAAATATAAACATCTGTAAAATTTTTTTTTTTTATATTTACCATAGCTTTATAAGAGTTATATAGTAATTGCAAGTACTTCCGAATACATTAAGATAACACAAATCGCAATGTTTTGATTTTCGATTCCAAGAGGAAGAAAAGTTATCCACCATATATAATAGATTTAAATCATGGTAAGAACCATTTAAAATAGTATCTTATCATATTTATGCTATAGAAAAGTGTGAAAAAAAAAGCTGTGGGGAGGTGGGGGGGGGGAGTCTATCATCGATAAATTTTTTTTAAAATCTTTTATTTTCTCTTTTTATTTGTCTTCTCTACCAGCTTTTCCTAAAAAAAGTTAAACTTTTTTAATCAAAGATTATTAAATATTTTTGGCCGCCTAAATCAATCGAATACCCCACAGTGCGACGACACGGTATTTAAAGAAGTAGGGGAGGGAGGGGGCAGGGTTAAACAAACTTAAATATTTAACCGTGCTACTGTTAAATACTTTTTATCCTAGGAAAATTATAATAATGTAATATTAAGAACTCCAAGTTTTTCAAGTAACAACTTAGTAAAGTGTATTTATTGGCATTTAATAATAATATAAGGCAGGGACGGATGCAGCATATTTTGATGTTTTAGATAACTAACTGCCCGACATGAAGTAAACTCTAAACATTTATATGTTTATACTTAAGTATGCTTTGCAAAAAACTGCGATGGTTGGGCCTGGGATGAAAAAAGCCCCAAATCTTTTAACGACACCTGCTCCAAACGTGCATGTTGATTTTTTTTTTCAATTTTTTTTTCCTGTTCTTAAATAAATCTAAATTCATTGAGAATTTTTAAAATTCATACAAGATTCTTTTCGCGTTTAAAAATTATGACCGTGTATAAGTTTGAACCTCCATAACTTATGGAGGTTTTTCCTCTATAAAAAATATTATTAAAAATTGTCGTTATCTAGGTATATTTTTGTTTATTAACTATTGACGGGTTTGTTTACCGTTAAAATCCCAGTTGTAAATAATTATATTTTAAAAAACTTTAATTTTAAATACAAGAATTCAAACAATTTTAAACTGCTAAAAAATTTATTCTAGACATTTTTTATTTTCACAGTTTAAGTAGTTTGTCATAAAACTGACACCAACTGCATATAAGTCTGAAACAGTCAAGTTGTTTTAAAATAAATCTCAGTAGGATAATAAATGTTTCATTGATTTGTGAAAAAAAAATACGTCAATATTTTGGTTATTAAAACGTTTTTCGACTTAGCATGTTTAGCGATACAAGTGTAGTCTGTTAAAATGTTGTTTGAAATTACGCACTAAAAAAATAGAACTGTTTTGTTTGTCTTGCTTTTAATAACAGTTATTTCACATTTTCTAAACACTTCAACAATTACAACTTATTAAACAACATCTGAATATAATTTTTTCAGCTTTATATTTGTGTCATTTTTTCAGCATCATATTTGTGTCATTTTTTCAGAATCATAATTGCATCATTTTTAAGAACATTAACAAGAATTTTAATGATACTTATGCGTCACATTTTTTAGCCAATGCATATTGAGAGGTATCAAAGAAAACCTGTTACAAATTTAATTAGAGAAATTTTACGCTCAATTCTGCTGATATTATTTTTAGCTATATTTGTTAACCCGTTGAGTTTTCAATCTAACGTTGCAACTAGCGTTGCTACTGGTTTAATAAATCATATAAACCGATCTGAAAGTGATAACAACAAAGGTGCAACGCTAAAAACTTTAATTATTGGAAATGAGTCACTAAATATATTATTCCTCTATACAAATAATTCGTTTAATAAATATAAAACAGATGGAAAAGAATCGTGCAGCTTTCGCATTAAGTTAACCAAAAAATGCGAGTTGTTGGTGAAAATATTTGGATTAGATCAAATATCAAATCTAATTTCTCTTTACAATCCTTTTTCTACCCAATGGAAAAAAAAAGAATATAATTATCAAAACCGACAAGGTAAAAACTTTAATATTTTGTTTATTTTACTACAATGCAGGGTGACAGGACGCTTTTTTCCCAAAACAAATTAAAATTTTTATAAAGATTTTATATATTTATTTATTTATTTTTTTTTTATTTTGTCATTTAAATTGAAACTGTAACTGCAAATTTTTTTAATTTCTTTTTGTAGTCATTTTTTTAAAATTATATATAAATCTTCTTATCTATATTTTTTGTTCAGTAAATCTAATTTTTCTTTGCTCTATTTTTTTTGATTTCTTTTTTATTCTCTCCTGTAAATTTGTCTGTAAATTTTTTATTCCAGCCTCCAGTAAATTTGTCTGTAAATTTTCTGAACCTTATAAACATTTGAAAATAACTGTCAACGTTTCATCAGATTATTACAACTTTTTATTAACTTGATCATGAATAGCAAGCTTTTTTTTTCATAACCCATGATTTTCTTTACGATCATATGTTTCTTATTCTTGCGATTAATAATTGCTAATAAAAATAAATATTTTACGTTTGCTAATAATCATTTTACGTAACACCAGTTTTATTATTATTATTATTGTTTTGGTATAATTAGTAACTGATATATGATTAAGTTCCAAATAACTTCATTACCCAGATAATGTATACGTCGGCACAACGTTTTTTTTTTCTTACAGCGGCCAATGCACAGTGGGAAATTAGATGGCCAAAAATCAGAAAAGTAACTTGGTTCAATCATTATGTCTGATAGTGGGTTTTGTTACTGATACCCTCACTAAGAATTTTATGAAATTCTAAATGTGGCAGGCTCAATTGTAGTGGCTTCTTGAAGTTAGTTTTTTTAATGAATTTTCGATAAAATTCTCAAATTGCTAGATTTTTGTAATTATTATTTTTTTAATATATAGATCATTGAAGAATTGAGAATATATACATTATTGGAAAGATTATTGTATAGACTGTTAAAAATAAAAAATAAAAAATTTCTTGAAAAAGTAGGTAGTAAAACTTTTTTCAAAAGTACTAAATTTTAACTTTGATAAAGAATTAAAAAATTGTTCCAATTTGTACCTTTTCCATATTTTGATATTTTTAGTCTATAGTATCTACTAACTACCCTGAGAAGTGTAGCTGCGATCATCCGCGATCTTGAGCGCTAAATAATTTTGAAAAATTGATGTTTTTTTAAACAAATAAAAAACTTCGATTTAAATAATTTTTTTCATTTATTACAAAAAGTAAAAAACATACAAACTACTTTAAAGCCTGAAAGACCAAAATAAATTTGTTTTCGTGTCACAAAGGAAAAATTTTTTTTTAACTTCATTAGTTTATGGTTTTAAAATGCATAACTAATTTAGGAAAAAATAATTATAAACTGCATTTTTAATGTCCCACTAATCGACCAAAACCACATGAATTTCCAAATGATGTTAAAAAAATTCTTTTTACTTTGTAAGTTTATTGTTGTGAACTAAGATAATGGAGGAAATCAATTTAATACAAATTGTGCAATGTTTTCTACTTTCGGTAAATACTTTTGAAGATGTAAATAGTGGGTATAAATACATTACTAGAATTCAGGTCAGAGAATACAAAATAAATACAATAGCGAGAAAAAACGACGTCTGAAGAAGCTTTTGTAAATTTCTTGCATAACAAACCTTCAGTGTTTCTGAAAATACCCATAAAGAAGCACCATGCAGGTTTCCATCTTATCGAGTAATTTTTGAATTAAAAAACGAGTGCTCACGCCTTAAAACATCCATTAAAGTTACTGAAAAAAAGGTCAAAGTTAAACTACAGGATCTTATAAATCATACATCCAAAAGGCTTGTGAAACTACGGGAGAAGAAAATTTTAAAAGTTTTGATGATAAAAAGAAAGACTTTGATGAATTAATACTAATTAGTTGTCAGGGTATGGACGAAACATCAAGTCACTAAAAATACTATTAACGTTTTAATAATTCCAATCAAAATAACCTTCAAGATTCGGATCTATTAGTCACAGTAACATCACCTCTTCGATTACATGTACAATCAGACTTAAACAATCTTTTATGGAATAACATAATGTCTCAAGGTATTAGATTCTGTAGACCAATTATACTGGAGTATGTAAATGAGAATAAAGAAGTGGTATTAAAAATTAATGAAGAAATTGAAAAAGAAACTCCTAATTAATATCCTGATAAAGTTTACCTTATATTTTTATCAACTATAGTTTTATCCTTTCAATTGATGGAAAAATCTTAGTTAGATCACGGAGACTTCTTCGACACAATGTTGTCCGATTTGTCACGCCACACCTAACATGATGAGCGATTTAAAAAAAGGTTTGTTACAAATAGGCAGGCATTGTGCTATGGCATTTGACCACTACATGCTTGTATTAGGTTTTTTGAATTTAATCACATTTCATATAGACTTGAAAAAAACTTGGAAAGTAGAAAAGGTTTTCAAAAAATCAATATTTTTTGAGAGAAAAAATTATACATGATAGGATGTTTGAAGAATTTGGTTTGAGAGTTGATGAACCAAAAGCTGGTGGATCAGACGTGTAATACCGGAAATTTATGTGCATAAATTTCCGGTATTACACCACCAGCTTTTGAACCAAATGCTGGTGGTGTAATACCGGAAATTTATGCACATGAGCTTTTTTTGATCCTCTATTACTCAGCAAAATTTTAGAAATGGATGAAGAAATTATCAGATTACATAACATTCTAATTGCAAATAATTGCAAAGACCCAAATGATCCGGAAAAAATTGATAAATACTGCAATGATACATATAAGAAGTTATTAAAGATATATGATTGGTTCAAGTTCCCAGCTTCCATTCAAAAAATATAAGTTCATGCAAGGGAAATTATTATTAATTTACCAGTTCCACTTGATTTAATGGGAGAGGAAGCCGTTGAATCTCGACAGAGATTTTATAAATTTAATCGTGAACATCATTGCAAGAAAAAAAAGTAGAGAAATAAACTTACTTGACATTTTCATTCTAGGTATACATACTTCTGATCTCCTAATTAGTTCAATTTTATTAACTAAAAGATTGAAAAGTAAGAAAATATTGTGCCTACCGGAAAAAGTTAAAAGTTTGTTAGCAGTTTATAGCGATGATAAATTTAAATATAAATTTAATATATTTTGAATTAAGTATGAACATTTTGTACATTGAAAAATTATCCATTATTTAAACAATATCCAAAAGTATTAAATATAAAAAATCCAACTGGTGCCCCAGTGCTTTAGTGAATTCCCCTCCCCCCTCCCCTGCTGCGTCTAATAGCTGGTTAAACATTAAAATTAAAAATATTATATTAATTCTCTATTTTACTCATTTAAGGCTTAATATCCACATAAAGGCCTAATATCCACATAAAGGCTTAATATCCACATAAAGGCTTAATATCCACATAAAAGCTTAATATCCACTTAAATACAACGATTATATTTTTAGCCACCTATTTCAATGGAATGTTCCCACTGTGCGATGGTAGCTCATCAGAATAATGTAGGCGCGCTGATGTTGGGATGTCTTGATTTAACTCTATAAAATAAGAGTTAACCGCTAAGATTAAGTTGAGATAACTAGATTAGGTTAAGATAACTAAAGGTACTTTTATTTGAAGCGATTAGAAAAACAGTACTAATATGTCTATATAAATATAAAGTAAAAGATTTAAATAATAGATGATAGATCAACTGAAATAAAAAGTTATTATTCAATTATGATCATAATAAGATTTGATTACTTTAATTAATTAATCATAAAATAATAAAAAATTGTTAAGAGCTTGCAAATATTTCACTATTAAATTTTATTAGATCTAGATCTTTAATCGGTGGCGCACTGGCTAAATATATTTTACTGGCGAGGCAATTAATTAAGGGGCCCTCCAAACATACATATATTGCTAAGACGGCCCGGTCTGCAACTTTCTAAAAAATAAGTTACAACATAAAGACTGAAATCACTAGCTACTCAACTTTTAATGAATTAAAAAAGTACAGAGTGATGGGCAAAGTATATTAATAAATATTTTTTAAGCAGATGAAGATCTTTGAGTTTTTTTAAGCAGATGAAGATCTTTGAGTTTTTTTAAGCAGATGAAGGTCTTGAGATTTTTTTAGAAAATGAAGATCTTTGATTGAATACACTCATGGTTATCAAACTTATCCTGACATAAACATATTTTCTTCGGCTTCTTTGAAACGGGACAATAAATACAGGTTAGAAAGAGAATACGTACCATCATGTTTACCGAGATATTGTTTCTTTACAATCCGAATTTGTAATAATTGTAATTTGTTATTAAATGAAATCATAGAAACAAATTTTTCCAAAGATATCCAAAACGTTTTCCATACACACAAGTTAAGGTATATATTTTTGTAATATACTTCTTTTTTAACCTTTTTCACTCATCACTCATACAAAACTAAGAAAAGTTTGAAAAAAAATTAGAAACATTTCAGCTAAAAGCAAAATTAAGAGGAAAATATACTCCGGATTTTTTCCGTATATCTTACTAAAATAATTTTCTGTATTTTTAAAATATGGTCTGGATGATCTGTATATATGACACTTTTATTAACGTTGCAACAACTTGCAAAAAATTAAAAAAAAAAAAACCTACTGAATGCAGTACCTGGTTGCCTCTTTTATAACTAAGTTTAGAAAATAACCTTTAAGAAAGCAACTGCTAAAGTGGAGAATTTGTATCAGATTAATAATGTGTTCACTCCCAATAATTGAAGAAAATACCAACAAATGTAAAAATAATAAAAAATAAATAAAAATATAAAATTTATTATTTAAAATACACCTATTCCTAAACACTATTTCAAAAACACTAATTCTCAAGCTTTATTACAGTGCACTGATAAATTCATAAGGCGTTATTGTTTTATCATTCAAATATTTTTGCATATATTTGCCAGGATATAGATCATTAGGCCATACAATTTGTCCAAAAGAGAAGTAAACTGCATGTATGTC